TATAGATATGCTGTCTTGATGCCTGTGATATGCTTACTACACGTGTGCCACTGATGACGACGCTTTAGTATAGCTCATAAGGTCTATGTCTTCCTGGGTACTGCCGGATACTGCGGCTGCTGTTGTTGTTGCTGCTACTAATGTTGCTACTAACTGCTGTTATTGTTGCTGACATTATTGTTTGTTGATTGTTGTTATTAGCAACCGCAGTGTCCGGCAGTACCCAGGAAGACATAGACCCTATCAGCTTTAGTATTACGACGATGCTTAGTGCTGAAGGGTCGCGTGTATGCTGTTAGGAGCAGCACCGGTGCACGTCGCTGCTCTCGTTGCTGTCGTCGATCCAATTTGCGATTGTACGGTGACGCGTGCGCGTGTGAGTGAGAGAGTGTAACGCACGCACGCACGCACGCACGCACGTATGAGTGGGCGAGTGTATGCGTGCGTGAGTGAGTGTGTGTGGATGCACGCGTGCGCGCGTGCGTGACTGCGCGTCTTCACGCGCAAGTGAGCGGGTGCATGCATGAGTGAGTGCGTACGTAGCTACTGGGTGCGCCCATGAGTGAGTGTGCGCGTGCGTGATTGCGTGAGTGCGTGCGTGCACGCGTGCGTGCGTGGCTGCGCGCCTGCACTCGCAAGTGAGCGGGTGCATGCATGCGTGAGTGCGTGCGTAGCTACTGGGTGCGCACATGAGTGAGTGTGCGCGTGCGTGCGTGCGTGCGTGAATGCGTGCGTGAGTGTACCCTCATTCATTCTCAAGTTTGCTACGCGTTAGCGCGTGTGAGCATATCCCACCCTGGCTGATTTATTTCGGATTCTGGCGTTGTCAATGGAAATAACGATCTTCGTTCTACGAATGTATAATAGAAACTGAACGCGCGGGGAACTGAAAGCCTTTCTGATACCATCATACCATACTGAGACGTAGCGAGATGTGATGTATGCTGTTACTATACAAATGCAAAAATATGGCAGTGAAGTTTGGTGTATTGGTTACTAGTTAGCTGTTTACTGTGGCGTGTGGCGTAGAGATGTCGCAGTGAGACTAGGTATACGTAGACAGTTTGCTGTCAGACAGGTGTACATGTTTTACGTGGTGACTGGTATATGTCGCAGTGTAACTAGGCATATATCACAGTATTACTAGGTGTATGTATCAGTGTGGTCATGTGTATGTCACGTTATGACTAAGTATATGTGACAGTGTGATCATGTGTATGCGACAGTGTGACTATGGCATATGTGACAGTGTGAGCATGTCTATGTGACAGTGTGACTAGGGTATATGTGACAGTGTGACTAGGGTAGGCCTATATGTCACATTGTGACTAGGTAGGCCCTATATGTGACAGTGTGACTAGGGTAGGCCTATATGTCACATTGTGACTAGGTATATGTGACAGTGTGACTAGGGTATATGTCACATTGTGACTAGGTATATGTGACAGTGGGACTAGGGTATATATCACATTGTGACTAGGTATATGTGAACCCGACGCGGCCGTGAGCCTAAACATACAAACAATGCCGTAACATACGAACATAACCGTAAGTGGCAGTACGTGGCTCGTGCCATACATCGCGCCTCGTGTAGATATGATCAAGAATCCATAATACAAGAGCCATACGAGTCTATTACGGACTCTTGATTGAGCTTGCAGTTCCAACGAGCGATGTGCAAATGTCACCTTTCCGGCTTCCGTTTCCTTGGCTTCCGTTTATCCTCTGAAGCCGAACAGTTATTCCCGTGAAAAGGCGTCCTTTGTCGGCTTGCTGCCGTCGCAGGCTGAGCAATCAGGAAAAATGACTAGAGACATGACATGAAATGGCTAAAAGATGAAAAATAGACATGAAATGGCTAAAAGATGAAAAATAGACATGAAATGGCTAAAAGATGAAAAATAGACATGAAATGGCTAAAAGATGAAAAATAGACATGAAATGGCTAAAAGATGAAAAATAGACATGAAATGGCTAAAAGATGAAAAATAGACATGGAATGGCTAAAAGATGAAAAATAGACATGAAATGGCTAAAAGATGAAAAATAGACATGAATTAGACATGGAAAATAGACATTAAATAGACATGAAATGGTTAAAAGATGAAAAATAGACATGAAATAGATATGAAAAAATAGACATGAAATAGACATGAAATAGACATGAAGTAGACAAGAAGTAGACAGAAAAATAGACATGAAATGGCTAATTTAGCGGATTGTCACATAATGGCTGCTGCGGCTTGTTCCATACCCCCTCCCCTTGTTCCATACCCCCTCCCCTTGTTCCTTGTCGAGCCAGCGTTCACAGTATTATTGAGCTTGGCATCGGACTTTCTCTCTCATGCTTCGTCTTCCCGTCATCATGATACCGCGTTGCGGATGGCAGTGGTGGGGGTGTGGGTGGGGTAGTGGCGGGGCAGTAGTAGTGTCGGGGTGGGGGTGGGGTAGGATGGGGTGTGGGGTCAGCGGGTAGGGAGTGTAGTGGCGGGGCTGTGGGCGGGGTGGTAGTAGTGGGTTGTGTCTGCGACTGTTTAACACAGAGAGCGACGTTTAGACGTGTCACAGACGTAAATAAAAGCACGCGAAAAAAGCGTTAAATATAAGCACGCGAGTGTCGAGTGACTAACACTGTCATGCGCAATCGATGTGGCCGTTCCCCCTGTTCTGGTTTCCCGCAACGCCATTTCTCGCGTCTCTCACATTAAAAATACCAGCGTATGAGTTGCTCCCCCCCCCCCCAGTTTTGCAGGGGTCGTAAAATGCCGGGCTGTTATGCACTGACTGCTGACGGGACCGGCGACCGGATAATTGCTTATTTACAGCGGCTAGTCTCGTCGCCATTACTGCGCATCGCTTACGCAAACAGCGTTAATTAAAGTCGAATTGCTAATCTAATTGGATTGCGGTGGTCGGCGCTCAGCTGACCTCGTCCTCCAACACGCGGTGGTACTGATGTGGAGGCTGTGAGAGGATGCTGTTCGAATTTCGGCGGCATGGGCGCGAGATGTGGTAATGAGAGCCCGCTATAGAAATAATATAGTAGTCTCTATATATTTCTATGGGTACCACAGTGGGAAATCATTTCCCATTGGCTCCCATAAATCAGCGGAAGTTTTTTCTTGAGAAATCACAATGCCATCCTCTGAATCCACGTCGCAAGTGACACCATATATGTTGTTAACTCCAAAATTCTTCCATATTTTTTTTGTAAAGCTTTTCCCGGCACGCACTCGAAATGGCCACTTTGCAATGTGATTTTACGCGAAGAAGTAGGCTTTCTTTTGAAAATCCCGACCCAGCAATGCACCCCAGACGAGCCGCTTATATAATTACACTATCGGATTCAGCAAAGTTTCTGAAATGAACAATTGCAAAGAGTTCTAATCCTTTCTAACGAGAAATAAAACATTTAAGCGTACACTGAAAAACTATCTTATGCTTGACCTGTCCTATCGCTCATTGGCTAATTTCCCACCGTAATACCTAGTCGTGCCGTGTGCTAACTCCAAAAATTCTCCATATTATTTTTGTAAAGCTTTTCCCGGCACGCACTGCCAAAACGAATGGCCACGAAATGGCCAATTTGCAATGTGATTTTACGCGGAAAGGTAGGCTTCATTAAAAATTCCGCCTTTGTCGCAGGAAAAAAATTTGCACAACATAAGATATTTGCGCACACTGACTACTAATAGTTAGAGAGAACATTGGCTAGCAGTTTGTCTGACCTTCTACTGCCTTACTGTTTTAGCAATGCTGTTTAACCTTTTCTCTAGTCCGCGCGTATTAGTGATGTCTCTAGCCATCACAGCCATGCTGTGTGCGGGTGTTTTTGTCGCGAAAAGCTGCAGGTAGAGTCGTCGCTGTTTTTTTGTTGTAATCTATCAGATGTCTTTCAGGTAGTCAGCAGAGTGCGCGCGCGTGTATAGAGCTGCAGGGGTTTCTCTGTGTTTCTGTCTCTTCTCTTTCTACGCGAAATTGTACCGTTGCCTTTCTCTCTATCGTTTCCAGAAAGCCAGGCTGGCGAGGAAGGGAAAAATCTGAACGGGCCCTGGTCGGGATTTAGTGGATGTATGGACTTGGACGCGTGGGGAGTTTGCTACGTCTGCGAGCAAACGAACGCATTTGTCACGTGAGCGACGGTCGTGACACCTACCGAGGGCTGCTACAGAGACATCTTGCGTGCAAGCGTGCGCGAGTATGTGTGTGCGCTTGCGTGCGTGCGTGCGTGCGTGCATGCGCTTGCGTCCGTCCGTCCGTGCGTGCGTGCGTGCGTGCGCTTGCGTCCGTGCGTGCGTGCGTGCGTGCGCTTGCGTGCGTGCGTGCGTGCGTGCGTGCGTGCGTGCGTGCGTGTTATAGTCAACATCCCATGTTTAACCCTAAATGGATCAATCAGCAAACCGTGCTCTCCCAACGCGGTGGCTGGTAAACCATTTTGATGTGATATGCCCCACATAATGTTGTACAGCTGTAATAAGAATTAACATGTGCTACACGGGCCCATAGCCTTATATATATACACACATATGTGTATATATATATATATTATTTAACATAATGATGGATGAGTGAATCTCAGTTGTGTGAATCTATGCTAGGATTAATATTGCTATATGACCGTATCATCGCAGCAATTGAACGCTTGATCTTTCTCATTTCAGCTTCACAGTGATGTTATATCTAGTAAGCTATATTCGCTAATAAGATCTCGTGTGCCATGCCCGAAGCCTACAGTGGAATCCGCCAATTTAGGCACGTAACTAATGGTATGCTCTCTGTTGTTCAATTGGAAATTGGTTAGCGTGTAGTCTGAAGGTGGCAATTATATACAAGCAGGTGTCCGCAGCGTATGTCATTTACCTACAGCGTAGAATTACCTGCCGAGAGATAATGAGAGGGAGGGGTAGGGAGAGCGCGTAAGAACGAGCGTGAGAAGGAGAGAGCGATATACAGAGAGAGAGAGAGAGAGAGAGAGAGAGAGAGAGAGAGAGAGAGAGAGAGAGAGAGAGAGAGAGAGAGAGAGAGAGAGAGAGAGAGAAGAGAGAGAGAGAGAGAGAGAGAGAGAGAGAGAGAGAGGGAGAGGGGAGGAAGGGGGAGGGAGAGCCATAGACAAACAAATAGAGAAAAGGGGTTGGGGAGTGCGTATGCACGAGTGTGAGAGAGGGGAAGAAGGAGAGGGAGAGAGAGAGAGAGCGAAAGAGAGAGAGAACCATTGACAAACAAAGAGAGGGAGAGAGATGGATCGGGGGAGCGCGTATGCACGAGTGTAAGAGAGGGGGAAGAGAGAGAGGGAGAGAGCGCGCGAGCGAGAGAGAGAGAGAGAGAGAGCGCGCGAGCGAGAGAGAGAGAGAGAGAGAGCGCGCGAGCGAGAGAGAGAGAGAGAGTCATAGCCAAACAAAGAGAGGGAGAGAAAAGGGTCGGGAAAGAGAACGAGCGAGCGAGAGAAAGTAAGAAATAGCTTCGTAGCTCCCTAACCTTTCATCCATCATTTTAGCAATAATTACAACCAATGTGGTTGGTTTAATATACCTGTAATGGCACGCACATAGACTTTCTTTGTTCGTGATAGCGTGAGTGGAGCCTCCAGAAAGTGGGTAGAGGTAGCGCCCCCTGTTGGAAGCATGGAGGTAGAGCCCCCTGTAGGTGTGGGAGGGATGGAGGTAGCGCCCCCTGTAGGTAAGGGAGGAACGGATAGAGCGCTACATGTAGGAAGGATGGAGAACGTGGTTTCATATAATTTCGACGTGTTTCATGTAGAGCATATGCGTGGATGCGGGAGAGCTTGGTACAGACACGGCAAGATGACTACGTTTGCCTCGGGGAGGGAAGGGGGGGAGTGGATTAGTTCAATGGATAACTCTGCCAGTGTTTCATCTGGACCGAACGCCGCAAAGACCGGCGGTATCATACTCCCATAGCGCCTTTGATCGTTTGTCTATCCTGTTTGTACGTATCTGCAATTTACGCTGGTTTTGCGCCGAAGGGAAAACGCACATTTGTCTCTTCTCTTAGCAAAGGTGCGCCCGTGCTAGTAGTTGTGAGAGTATATGAACAGTTAGTCGCGTGCTAAACTGCTATTCGTTTAGCACCTTATTTAAGAGAAATGGACGTATACATATGAACTGTTGAATACTCGTTTACCTATTGTTATATCTGAGATACGCGTTATATAAATATATATGTATACAACGTAGTGAAAGCTGTGATACTATAGAACAACTACGTTCCAAAGTGACCCCATAATATCAAGAGTCCATAATAGAAGACTATTATGGAATATAATAGAATTCTATTATGGACTCTTGATAATATGTGGGTGTGTGGGCGTGCGTGCGTGCGTGTGAGTACGTGCGTGTGATCGTGTAATATATCATGTGGCATATGATTTGTACATACAATTACATATAGGACAATAAGGAGTAACAGTAATTGAATATATATTCCGTAATTCTCCGAAAGGAAATGTGTGTTTTGTGTTGTATGAGCTGTATACGGTACAAACGATATCAATTTATTATATGTATATGTATACACACACACATATATATATATATATATATATATATATATATATATATATATATCAGGATAACATATAACATCAAATATTACACACTACACGCGGTGCGCGGGCTTTGGGAAAATAGAGCACGACATGTGACATCACATTAACATGCGCTCATACAATTTTCGAGTGTTATCCATAGGTGGCAAGCAATAAGACTTAGTTCTCAGAGAGTTTATTTCTCATCTAGCAGTATTTCCTTAGTATACTCGTCCCGAGTCGCCCTCTAACATTTTGTTAGAGCATCAAACCAGCGATTGCATTTTTCGTCCTTGTACCGTCGTGTTCTCGTACAAAGCCTGAGAGGTGTGTGTGTGTGTGTGTGTGTGTGTGTGTGTGTGTGCGCGCGCGTGTGTGTATGTCTCTGTGCGTGCGTGCGTCTGTGTGTGTGTGTGTGTGTGTGTGTGCGCGCGTGCGCGCATGCGCGTGCGTGTGTGTTGTGTGTGTGTGTTCGTGCGTTTGTGTGTGTGCGTGCGTTTGTGTGTGCGTGTGCGGATTAGGTCTAGTGCTTCCTTTTTTGAATATCCATTACAAACCAACGAGCGAAGAATACGACTGAATCGCACCGTACAGTTGTGTCTGCGACATGAGAATTCCCCCTCCCTCTTCCAGCGTGTATGTTCATTTATGTGATGTGTGAGGTGGACGTGAATGGGAAGATGTCTATAGTATGGAGCTTCGCTGGAATTGTATTTTTTTGCCACCTGCTATCAGAAATTATACGAGAAATGTCGCTGGCAATTTACTGCGAAACCGATATAATACGTGCAACAGATGTGCGTGGCGTTCACGATTGGGGAAACGCAGGGGTCTAGTTTCTCAGTTGTCAGTTTCTTAGGTAAAAAACTTTCATTTCCTAGTTCCCGGAAAAAAATTTTATCGTAAAATTTAAATCGCAATTTCGGCTTCCCCGTGTCCCGGTTGACTTGTGTTCCCGCGGTTGACTTCTGTTCCCGAATCACTAGAGGATTATTCCCCGCATTTTCCGCTCCCCTTCACCTTTCTCCCGCTGATGAGTCGCGAATATGATTATATCACAAAAATTGAATAGAAACAACCTGAAATTCTGGGTGGTTTTTTCTGATGAAGAAATACCGGACGAACAACGGAATTCAATAGTTCCAATACTTCGCATACATGAATGAAGACTTGTTACACACTTGCTGCGTGAACGCCTGCACTAGTATGTCCATTGGCAACGAATGACTCGTTAGTATTCGACAAGCATCGTTCATCTGTAACACAAACGCTGATGATGCGAAGAAGCTGAGAATTGAAGCACATTCGCGTATTTTCCGCGATCGTCGCTTACCGACGGAAAAAACACACATCATGAAACTTTGTTTGTCGGTGGCTTCTGTGTATTGTACCATATATACACTGGTGCTTGCCCACTAACGGAAAACATACATGACCCTCGAGTAGTGGGAAGCAGGAGTGCATCGCTACGTATGTATATGTATGTACGTATGTATATGTATGCACTTATGTATATGTCTGTACGTATGTATGTGTATGTACGTATGTATATGTATGTACGTATGTATGTGTATGTACGTATGCATTGTATGTACGCATGTATTTGTATATCAGTCCTTACCTTATAGCGGGCGTTGTAGATCAACGAAAGACAACCCCGCAAACAACGATTTCGTTATGCGAGCATTTAAGCATGCAGCCGCGTCTGTATTCTACTAATACGATACGCTAGACATGCGACACAAAACTAATAAAACCGGGCGTGCTCATCAAATTGTGATATTCCTCGCATAATTGGTATTATCTTTATTATTTTCCCGGCGTCGGAGGGATTCCGGAGGAGGGGAGAGGTGGAGAGATGAAGAGAAAAAAGAAAAAAGATTTGCGAATGCTTGCATGGATGAGTCTTCGACGAGCTTCTCTCGTCGGGTCTGTGTGTGTGTGTGTGTGTGTGTGCGTGTGTGTGTGTGTGTGTGCGTGCGTGCGTGCGTGCGTGCGTGTGTGTGTGTGTGTGTGTGCGTGCGTGCCTGCGTGTGCATGCGTGCGTGTGTGTGTGCGTACGTGCATGCGTGCGTGCGTGTGTGTGTGCGTGCGTGTGTAAGTGCGTGCGTTGGCGTGCACAGGCGTGCGAGTGCACGTGTGTGCGCGAACGCACACTCCCGCCATCGCACATGTTTGCGTGCGCGTGTGAGCTCACGCGAGTACGTACACAACACCCATCTACCGTCGCACACACATGCGCCAGGTGACGCTGGGGAAAAACCACGACCAGGATGTGAAGCCATGTAAGTTGCCACGTCGCCTCTCATTTTAATATGTTTTCTCGCGCGCGGTGGGGGGGGCGGGCCGCCCTAGGCGGGCGGCAGGCGGCAGGCTACGCTGCAGGCAAGCACGTAACCAGAAATAGCGAACTCGTAGTAGCCATCTCATCTTTTCTCATTACGCGTCCAGATGAGCAGCGCGCGCGCCGGCAGGTCGACGTCCGGATCCGCTCCTCCACACACCTTAACGAGTTCCTCGCAGCTCGATAAATCAAATCAGTAAAGGTTCCTGAATGTGGAATGCACCCTCGACCCCCTCCCTGTGTGTTTAATTAACAGCCTCCCGGTGGCCCGCTGTACTGTAAAGGGCTGAATTACTCGACAGTACTGACGGTAGATGGGTATTTTATTTGATGACAACGTCATTCTTCAAAGGGT